GGCCTGTCTGTTGTGGGCTTGTCTGGGCGGGTAGTATTGCGTGGATTTGGGCAGTGGGGCGGGTCAGTGCGTCGGCGAGGCTCCTTTTTTGTAAGTGACCGTGTAGTGAAAGTTGGACCCGAGGAAATCGAGCCAGCGAATCTGTCGTAGGTTGAGGTGTGGCTGTGCGCGAAGGTACTGTAGTGATTTATGGTCTGTCCGTATTGTCACGTCCGCGCCGGTCAAGTAACAGCGCCGCACTTTGAACGCGTGCACAATCGCAAGCATTTCGCGGTCGTGTATCGGGTAATTTTTCTCGGGCGGATGCAGTTTTCGTGACTCGTATGCGATGGGCTGTAGGCCGTTGCCGAAGTCCTGTAGTAGTATGGCTCCGATGGCGATGTCGCTTGCGTCGGTAACTACTTCGAATGGGCGGTGTGGGTCGGCGATGCGCAGGACGGGCGGTGAACAAAGAACATTTTTCAGGGCAGAGAAGGCAGCATGCTCTTTCTCCCCCCACGTAAAAGCGACCCCCTTCCGCAGTAAATCCGTCAGTGGGGCAGTTAACCGTGCCATATCGGGGACGAACCGACGCACATAATTAACGAACCCTAAAAAGCTCTGCAGCTCCGTGATGTTCGTCGGGGGATGCCACGCTTTTACCGTATCCAGCTTCTTTGGGTCGATTTCAACGCCAGCCTCCGAAATAACGTGCCCCAAAAATTCTAACCTATCCTGGAAGAACTCGCACTTGGAACCCTTGGTCAGTAATCTGTGCTCATCTAAAACCTTAAATACTGCTTCCAGATCTGCTAAGTGCTGCTGCTTATCCCGGCTGTAAACTAGGATGTCGTCGAGGTAAACTATCACACATTTTTCTAAGAGCGGTCTAAACGCCTCGTTCATGGTCATCTGAAAAGTCGCCGGTGCGTTGGTCAGCCCAAATGGCATCACAGTGTACTCGAACGACCCGTACCTAGTCCTGAAAGCTGTTTTGGCGCAGTCCGATGGTTCGACCCTAATCTGATGGTAACCTCCCCGTAAATCTTTTTTCGAAAAAACCCGTGCTTTTCGTAGTTGGTCGGTTAGTTCGTCGGCACGGGGAATGGGGTACCGCGACTTGACTGTTACCCTGTTCAGTCCTCTGTAGTCGATACACATGCGAAAACCCCCGTCTTTTTTCGGTGTGAACAGTATCGGTGTGGCGAAGGGTGACGAGCTCGGTCGGATGAATTTTTTCTCTAACAGGTAATCTAACTGCTTCCTCAGTTCGTCGAGCTCGGGCTGTGTCAGTCTGAACTGGCACTGTACAGTTGGCTGTGCCCCTGGTTCTAATTCTATCCGGTGGTCGTGTGCTCGCTGAGGTGGCAGTCCTTTCGGTAAGTCGTCGAGAAAAAACCCGGGGTATCATTTCAACAGTTCCTGTAATGCGGGCGGTACTGCTGCTAACAGTTTCTAAAAATCGCTCGGCTGCTCTGCTTCTTCTACTACGGCAATGTCCACTGCGTACACGTCAGCTCCAGCGACGACTGCCCGTTTCATCGTGATGGCGTTAACGTGGACCGTTGAAGACTCGGGCGACTGCCAGCGGGGTAGTTCGATCCAGTTACCACTACTTCGCACAGTGCAGCTTCCTGTCGTCCAGTCAATTCTCGGGTTGTATCGTCGCAGCCAATCACGTCCCAGTAAAATGTCGTGCCCATCCAGTGTCGTCGCGAGCATTTCCTGTGTAAACCCGAAGTTTCCCCCGCAGCGGACTTTGACTATTTCCACCTTTTCCCGTATGGCCAGTGGCGTGCCGTCGACTAAGCGTGCGTCTATCTCAGGTAAGCAGCGGCTAAGTGTCAGTTGCAGTTTTCGGGCGGTTGCGGTATCAACTAAACTGTGGCTTGCTCCTCCGTCAATAAAAATCTTCACTGCTGCTCCCTGTATTTTCCCGTGGATCAGTACTGGGCAATCCGTCGCTGTACCCTCCTTATTCATCCGAGCCCGATCGACGGCGTGAATCGGTACTGTGAATCGGTGAGGGTCGGTTTTTGGGCGAGCAGGCAGTCTCGTCAGTAGTTGGCCTGAATCCTACTGACTGCTGGCGTTTCCCTGCCTCTGAGACTCCCCCCCCTGCTCTGCTCCGCGGCGCCTCAGCTCCTCTGGGCATTCGCTCTTCCGATGGCCCGGCCTATTGCAAGCAAAGCAGCGCCCCTTAAACGGTGCGGCAACTGCATTCATCGCAACGGCGTGTACGGTGGCGTGCTCGATCGGTCCCCGAGGACGATGTCCGTAGTAGGACCCCGGTCTTGGACGGTGTCGATTTTCTCGGCGAGCGCGAGAATCTCGTTGAAGTTCGAGAGCCCGCATAGCATAATTTCGTGCGAGATGTCCGGCTTCAGCCCTCCGACGTAACGGTCCACCCGCTCCGCTTCGTGCATGTAGCCGACTTGTTCGCATAATGCGAGAAAACCACTCGTGTAGTCTTGAACCGATCCGAGCTGCCGCCAAGTACGCAGTCTCTGACGCGCCGAAATAGAAGCCGCGATTGGCTCGAAGCGCGCCCGAAGCCCTGCGCACCACGCATCCCACGTGCTGTACTGGGCGGTCTCGCAGAACGAACTCCAGGTGACAGCTGGACCCATAAACCCTTCCTCTTGTGACGGTGGCTCGTAGGCGCGTGGCGACGTCACGATGACTCACCACCAGTCCATGGCGGGGCCCCTCAGCAGCGAAACAACATACCGAATCTTCGCTGCGTCCGACTCGATGTAATTCGCGTCGAAGAAGACGTTCATCGTGAAGACCCGCGATTGAACCGTCGGACCTCCACGTTGGCTTGGGTCGAAGCAGGGCGGGCGTTGCGGCTTGAGTGGCATTGGTGCCATGATGGCCTGTTCGCCACTTGTCGCCGCAATCTCCACGTGCCGACGGGCTTCACGAGGCTCCCGCGGGCTTGGTGCGACCCTGTTCCCACCCATGCCAGGCATCGGATGGGCGGCGCCATCACTGGCTGCACCTGAGTGCTGTCCCACGTTGTCGTGTTGTGTTGGTGTGCCGGACGAAATGACGATCGGCTCGTCCGATTGTGCAGATGCATTTGTTGGTGCGTGTGGTGGCGCGGGAGTGTTCACCGTTGATTGCTGACGCGCGGAGTCACGTTCCGCCGTGAGCGTCGCAATTTCGAGCGCCGAATCTTCGAGTTGGCGCACCAGACGGTCGAGCTGCTCCTGCGTCAATGTTGCGAGCGTGAATTCGGCCATGGCGGGGGTGTCGGGCAAGCTCAGCGAGAGCCTCAGTCGTGGCCGTGCGTGCTTACGAGAGAGCACTACGAGCGGCGGTGATGTGTCACTGAGAGACGTCTACCCCCCCAAAAAAATTGAGATAATGAGGAAGCGAAGGTGTGGGTGCGGTCCGAGAAGAGATCGTAGGCTCTGATACCAAGTGTTACAAGTGCAATTGAGTGAGCGAGCGAGAATTGCACTATCGAAGCAAGAGTCCAATGAGCGAAGGCATGAGCGAAGAATATATAGCGAAACTACAGTGGTAACGGTAATGGACTGTGGTTGTCGTGCGACGGGCCTGGGACTGAGGTTGGGGAAAATGTCGAAGCGGAGGCCCGGAGCGCGGGTTACCCGCCGAGCCGTGAGGTCGGGGTGCGACGTGCGAAGGTGGCGGGGGGATTGTCGATGCGAGGGTTGCGAGTGGTAACGGTGCTGACTGTGGTGCTACAGTGGTGTATGCGCTGAGCGGGGACGCGAAGTAAGGAAAAGGATTTTTCCTTACACCTTGCTAATGCCACTTGGATGGAGATATATCTTTGCTAGTGATATACACTAGCTTGTGTTCAATCTCGATGCAAATGTTGTAATACCGTCACCCCCCGGATAAGCCCCCATGGGGGGGTATAATAAAACAGGGTTATTTAGGGGGGTGGGCTTATAATTGAGTCAAATTTATAAGCGCAGGCGCTTATAAAATGACATATGTATATTTAATATTTTCTAACACCAAACTGTAGATCTCGTTCTTGCCTTTCCAATCGGGTCGAAGTTACACGGGGTCTTGAGTGAAATTCCTGCGGGCGCTGGGGTACACTTGATGTGACTCACAAGGTGCCCCTGACTGACGGCTCCTCCTGACTCGACTCGCATCCAGTGCAGGGTTCGAATGTGAAGCGAACCGAATTTGCAACATATCCGCATGCTAAAGTAAGAATCGTTACAGTGTTTTGAACCAATTTCAAAATTCATAGTTTACATGCGCTTATAATAAAACAAGTTTTTTCAGGGGGTGCGCTTATAATCGAGGAGCGGATATAAGCGCCATATGCCAATTACAAGCGCCTGGCGCTTATCTCAGGGTGGCGCTTATATCCGGGGGGTGACGGTAAGTCAGTTGTAATGAGAACGATGCCAACAAATAAGAGTAAGGAAGCTTTCTCAATATAACTTGTTCTCGTAAGGGTCCAAGCCATAACCTTGATATCCTGGAGCTGGTTTTAGGGTCTTTGGTCCAGTAAAATTACAGAGATGCATCTATCACTACGGTAAAATGAGGACCGACGTCAAATTCAGGGTACTCAGGTCAGCACAGCCTGCATTCCCTTGCTCTTCCAAGTTCCAACTGCACCTCCCAACTACCTTAAGTGTCTATGTGGCAGTGCTGCAACCTTACGCAACAGGCAGAACTAAGAGGGGTGGGATACATGAAATTGTTGCAACTTTTCAGACTGCCCGAGTCATGAGATTCACAACAGTTGTTCTTGCTCTGTCTCCCGCATCTTATTCTCATCGGCATTTGCTGCACACGTGCACATGGGCATGTAGTGAAAGCAGAGTGGAAAAAGCATGGTACCGTATGCAGAAAACTATCGTAGACAAAACAGAGTCATACACACCAACTTCGTTACATTGTACTAACTGTAGGCATGCATGTGGATGACACACATGCACACAAATTGCACATGCACACACACATGGCGGCACACTTTCACAAAAGAAAAGCAATGAGCAACGCATGATCCCACGACTCACAGTGGCAGGCGGGCGTGCCGGGCTTGCCCGGGGAGGAGATGGCGAAGAGGCGGCGCTGCAGCACAGCAGCCATGGCGAGGAAGATGGAGCACATGCCGAACATGGCTGTGATGGGGAACGCACTCACCTGCCGCCAGGGGGGGAGAGGGGGGAGGGTGGCAGGGTCGGGGAGGGGTGAGGGAGAAGAGGAGGGGTGAATGTAATGAGGATTGGAGGAGATGGGTGTGAATGACACATACAGTGTAGAGCACACATACATTGTGGAGCGCACAAACATTGTAAAGCACACATACATTGTAGAGCGCACATACATTGTAAAGCACACATACATTGTAGAGCGCACATACATTGTAAAGCACACATACATCGTAGAGCGCACATACATTGTGGAGCGCACAAACATTGTAAAGCACACATACATTGTAGAGTGCACATACATTGTATAGCACACATACATTGTAGAGCGCACATACATTGTAAAGCACACATACCCTGTAGAGCGCACATACATTGTGGAGCACACAAACATTGTAAAGCACACATACATTGTAGAGCGCACATACATTGTAAAGCACACATACATTGTAGAGCGCACATACATTGTAAAGCACACATACATCGTAGAGCGCACATACATTGTAGAGCACACATACCCTGTAGAGCGCACATACATTGTAGAGCACACATACCCTGTAGAGCGCACATACATTGTAGAGCACGATGCAGACGAAGCAGTTGAGGGGGATGCGGAAGAAGTTCATGATGGTGGCGCGCGCCTCCTCGGGGATGAACTGCGAGCGCATCTTCATGATGGACGGCCAGAACACGCCCACACACACCTCAAACACACAGAACCCCACCAGCTGCACCCGCCCCCCGCGCGTGATGGCCCCCCCGTCCGGCGCCACCGGCTCCAACACAAACTGCATACCGCGTGGCGCGATGGGCGGAGGGATGGGCGGAGGGACGGGCAGTAAGGCAAATTAAGTACAAGACACAACATTCAGATGGCTGGAAAGGCGCAGGGAGTGGTGATGCGGCGGAAAGGAGGGGTTGGGGATGTGTAGTGGTGCAACGAGGAGACGAATAGGGAACTTTAGGTGAGAGAGCACCTGAATAGAACAACCCCTTCACAATGGAAAGTCGAGAAATAAACAACAATAAGTGAAGGCGATGAGTGAGCCGTGTATCACACAGAGGGAGTGCAGTGTATCACACAGAGGGAGTGCAGTGTATCACACAGAGGGAGTGCAGTGTATCACACAGAGGGAGTGCAGTGTATCACACAGAGCGAGTGCAGTGTATCACACAGAGCGAGTGCAGATCGAGTGCAGGAGAGAGAGATACGGGGGAAGCAGGTGGGGCGCAGAGGAGCACTGACGAAGGCGAAGAGAGGGACGAGGAGGGAGAGGGAGGAGACGGCGAAGACGATCTGCATGTAGAGCTCCACTCGCAGGGTGGGGCGCGCCATGAGGCGGGCGGCGAGGGAGGAGCCGGTCATGGAGGCGAGCATGAAGATGGCGAAGATGAAGCCGTGTGGGATGCGCTGGTCCGAGGGGGCGAGGGCGGGCGTCCAGAGGAACACAAAGGTGTACATGCTGCCCTCGAACAGCGACTGGATGGCGCCCAGCAGCGCTATCTTCTCGTCTGCCTCACACGTGGCACACGGGGGTGGCAACGAGGGCAGACGCACGGCAGCGAGGAAGAATTGAGAAACAGATGGAGCTGCGCATGCCAAGAAATAATGCGGCTTCCAGACAGGAGCATGTTTGGTTTGGTGCACAATGTGAGTGGTGGGAGAGGGATCTAATTTGGCCCGGAGTGAATGACGCCAAGCAGACATTGCCGGAGAGATTCAAGAAGCGACCCACGATGACAAGTGCCAGGCGACATTGAATGGTGGGTTGTGTGGGAAGGATGAAACATAGCCATGGGCCGTGGCCCGTGACATGCACGGGTAACGCAGAGGAGTGAGGAAGTGCATGTGGTACTGCAGTGGTGCATGTGGTACTGCAGTGGTGCATGTGGTACTGCAGTGGTGGCATGACAGTGGCAGGTGTGAGAGCCCTTGGGATCCCTGCCCTACACCCCATTATGACGCACTGTGCGCTCCTCCCTCTTACCATCCCAACTCCCCCAATCCTGTCATGCGCCCAGTGCCCAGGTTAGGCCAGCGGCCAGCCCGACAGCGTGTTGAGTCTTCCCACCCCGGGCTGGCCGCTGGCTAGCCAGCCAGGCCCAACCCAACCCACCTGAGTGGCGGACCAGCGCGGAATGCTGCCGGCTCAGCTAAGCCGTGTCTGCCGTGCACTCATATTTCACATCGAGAAGAGTATAGAACACGACTTGAATACATTGCTGCTCACTTCAACTGTACTTCACATCCTGCTGGGCCCGACCCTTGCTCATGCGTATACACTGGGCCATGCCCATAACTTTCTGCCGCTGAGCACTGGCTCGTTGCCAGCACTCCAATCGTTTGGAAGTACAAGCCCATCTCGCATGACTGTGATTGTACTTTTATAAACTAGTTTAGTTTTGTTCTAGTTTTGGTGGGTTGGATGTTACAACACTATCCCAACCATTCTGAAATCTGATCAACCAGACTCCCAAACCTCCAACCAATCCTATTGAGCATGGCCTTCAACTTCCAGCCCATCCTGCTCAACTCACAAGTGATTTCACAAAAGAACCGTGAGCTCTATATGCTCTACCTCAATTTCCCACACCAACGACTTTCTTTTCATCCTCCCCTCTCCTCTCAGCCACATCCTGCAAGCTCCATGTGTCGAGGCCGCATCTTCACCTTTCTCCGCCATCTCGCTCGCACGTATGCTCGCTCTAGAGTCACTCTTGCAGAATGTTTTCTAGAATCACTCTTGCAGAATGTTTTCTAGAATCACTCTTGCAGAATGTTTTCTAGAATCACTCTTGCAGAATGTTTTCTAGAATCACTCTTGCAGAATGTTTTCTAGAATCACTCTTGCAGAATGTTTTCTAGAATCACTCTTGCAGAATGTTTTCTAGAATCACTCTTGCAGAATGTTTTCTAGAATCACTCTTGCAGAATGTTTTCTAGAATCACTCTTGCAGAATGTTTTTCTAGAATCACTCTTGCAGAATGTTTTCTAGAATCACTCTTGCAGAATGTTTTCTAGAATCACTCTTGCAGAATGTTTTCTAGAATCACTCTTGCAGAATGTTTTCTAGAATCACTCTTGCAGAATGTTTTCTAGAATCACTCTTGCAGAATGTTTTCTCTCGAAAAGCTCAATGAGAGCACTAGGAGAGACCCATGGGAGCAGTGCGACTGACTCAACGCTCTTCTGGCACAAGTGTGGCCTTACCTCCGCTCACTACGGCTGTTCCGTGGAGTACCTACGTCGTCCTTACCCCCTCCCCATCCCCCCTGAGGCGATGGCAGCCCACCTGAGGCGATGGCAGCCCACCTGAGGCGATGGCAGAGGCGGCGGCGTGGAACTGGGCGAGCAGCCCCTTGGAGTCGGTGCTGTCGCCGTAGTTCTCCGGCCACGTGGCGGTGATGATGGCGCCGCCCACCAGCAGCACGAGCGCAGCGGCGTCAAAGGGGGCCACGGGGCCCAGCGCCAGCGACGTCACCAGCGAGTTGGCGAGCAGCCCTGAGAGGATGGCGATGAGCCCGTTGCCCAGCCAGATGGCCGAGGAAAACGTCACTGACAGCCACTGCGCCTCGAAGCCACGCTGGGAGGGATGGGGAGGAAGGGAGCATGGGAGGGGACGGAGAAGAGACACGAAATGGGCGGTACAGAGTGGTGAAACGGGTGGGTGGTGCAGCCAGGCTTGCATGTGGCGGACCGAAAAGAGCACAAGACCAAGACCCGACTTGCTGTACCTTGAAGTGCTCCGCCACGAGCCTACCTTGAAGTGCTCCGCCACGAGCCAGCTCTCGAAGGCGGAGAAGAGCAGCGAGGTGGCGATGCCGCCCAGCACGCGGCCCAGCATGAGCAGGCGGTAGTCGGGCGAGTGCTTGGTGAGGCACGACAGCACGTACACCCCGCAGTACGTCAGCGATGCGCGCCGCCGCCCACTGCCCACCGGCCAGCCATGCACGTGCGGGGGAGGGGAGGGGGAGGGGAGGGCATGTGATTGTGTGCGCGTGTGCGAGTGAGAACGTCAGAGAGAGAGGGAGCAAGAGGGGGCGTGGGGGGGGGGGGGGGGTAGTTGACGCTGGGGTGGGTAGAAGGTGGTATGTTTGTCTTGCATGTGTTTGCATCTACCTTGTAATATCCTATAATGAATACAAGGACCGTTCGAAGGAGCAAGAGGGAAGAGGGAGGGGCAGTGAGAGTGCAAGGCGCAACCCCGCAAGTACAGTCTAGTGATGTGACACATGACCTTTGCACAGCCTCACTCGGTAATGCCTGCCAAATGCAGCATGCTCACTGCTTATCGGCCAGCGAGCCGACGATGGTGCCGAAGACCATGGAGGAGCCGAAGCCGGCGATGAAGAGGCGGCCGATGTCGCCCTTGTCGTACCCGTAGTGCTGATACAGCGCGTACACGTACGGCCCCTGCAACCAGTCTCCCGCTGCCACGGCAGCAGGGTGCATGGTGGAAGGAGGAGGGCGAGAGCAGCCTTGACGGACGGATGCATGAAGGCGATGGCAATGCAAGAACGGCCAATGGATTGGAAGCAAGGCAATGCGAGGAGAGGTGGACGAAGAGATAGGGGCAGAATTGGTTCACAACACACAAATACGCCTCATTTCATCCACGCCGTCATCACGAACACTCGTTATAAGCCCTAGGCATCATAATGATACTCGTTATAAGCCGTACCCATCATGAGCGAGTAGACGAGGAGGTAGTTGTTCTTGAAGGACTCGAAGGCGGGCGACGTCTGCAGCTTGTCGCGCTGCCCCTTGCTGCCCTCCAGCCCCGCGCACAGCACCACCAGCGCTCCGAACACCGCCCAGAAAAACACCTCCATGCCGCCGCCGCTGCTGCCCACTCTCTCTCCCCGCAGTCCCCCTTCTTCCCCCCGGTCACACCCTCCTCACTCTCTCCTCTCTCCCTCTCCCTATCGCTGCACGGGTCGCCCTTCCGTCGTCTGTCGCTTGTCGTCCGTCGAGCGAGGAAGAGACGAGTGCGGCGGAGCGGTCACGTTGTGCAGCCCGACAAATGAGCGCGGAAGCCGAGCGTGCGCACCAGATTGGCAGGTGCGCCAGATCTACCGCTTGCGGCGACGCCGCCCGTTTGTGTTAGCGGTTGGCGAAGGGTGCGGGGATAGCAGGATGGCGCGTGAGGTGGCGCGGCGAGCAGCGTGGTGGAATGCTGCAGCGCGCACTGTATGGCGCGCGCCGGCCACTACGGCAGCTGCTAGGTCCGGATAGGCGCCAGAATGGATGGCGGTGCGACTGGCATGGAGCCAAGAGAAGATATCTCAAGGGGAAAAAGGCGGGAGGACCTTGTGAACATGCATGTGTGGGATCTGAAATCAAACACAAGTTATGAGTGCGCGGGACTGAAATGCACTCGATTTGAAACTACCGAATATTACCGAAGACTACTGAATGGAAGATCAACGAGGCTCTTGGGGGAACTTGCTGTGAACGCCATCTGAAGCGAAGCGAGCCCCTCGGAGAATACGCGCTGAAAAAAACCTCCATTAAGGGTTGAAATTACACCTTAGAACACTTGTAAGCGTCCCATGGTTTGTGAATCACTTAATACGCTCCTTTTTGTTCTCAAAATATATAACTAATTTGTTCAAAACAACCCTTTGAAAACTTATCCAAAAGGATATGTGCATCCCACAAAATGACAATTAACACTTTCCAAAGCACCACGAGTGCGACTCAGTAGCTAAAACTGCCAAAATGCATAGATATAACCGCTCATTGTCATACGTGTTGGGCTGAAAAACCCTTAGGATCTTTGCAGGGGTGAACTCTGGATAGAGTTGGTGTAGTAGCGGAAGTGTTAATTAAAGAGTTGTGAACCACCTTGCGCTGGTATGTGAGGGCAAAGTAAGTTGATTAAAGCAAAGCGATACAAGATTATATAAAAGTACAAGGAATACGAAGAGATACGGTTGCAACTACTTTACTGTTGCTGTTGCGGTTCGATACAGTGACGACTCGGGCAACTGCTCTGTAACGAGTCAGTTGTGTGTCCTTGCTGGCGCGCTGTACTTGTCTGGTCAAAGGTCGCTGACCTTTGACTTTCGCGTAACCTCCGACAGTTACTTTCAACCTCCGAGGGTTGACTCGCCGGTGATTCGTTATACTTCGTTTCTATTGTGTCTTTAGTGTTTCGACACGACAGAGGCGCTTAGGACCGATTGTTTCCAACACTCCCCTTCGCTTCTGGAGTGTCGCTGACGTGGCTCTGTCCAGTCAGCAGCATGCAGTATTCGAACTTCTGCTTTCCGAGCTTCTTGGTCAGGTAGTCAGCTGCCATCTCGGACGTGGGACAGTATGACAGCTCGAGCCTTCCCTTCTCGATCTCGTCCTTCACGAAGAAATATCGCAGGGCGATGTGTTTCGTCCTGTTCGCGAAGCCGTTCTTGTTGGCGATGCGAATTGCCGACTGGTTGTCGCAGAACAGGGTAAAGTTGGGTAACTCGGCTAACTTCGCTTCTTCCAGCAGCTCGCGAAGATAGAGCCCTTCCTTGGTGGCTGAGCAGAGTGCTATATATTCTGCTTCAGCTGACGAGAGAGCAATTAATTCCTGCTTGCTCGACTGCCAAGAGATAGGTCCGATAGGTTCGAGGCGGTAGATGTAGCCGGTGCGGGAGCGCCTATTGTCGGAGTCGCCAGCGTGATCAGCGTCGACGTAGCCGATTAACTTAGTATGAAGTTGGGTCCTACTCGTTCTGCTTCGTTGGTGTTGACTGTCGCAGGTGTTACGTAACTGTTGTCGGCGAAATAGTAGAAGGTTTCGGCGTTGACACTTTCGCGAGGGTTATCTTCGTCCATGGGAACGTCGACGGAGCAGAACGGAAGAGGTCCGGCTTCTTCTGATGCGTTGTCCACATTCTGCTCGTCCCAGTCAGCTTCGTCCGCTGCTGAGGCGAAGGCTCGGTCACCGCGAAAACCACCTGTGGGATCCTGGTCTTCTTGCAGGTTGGCAAGGTATGTCTGGAGCGTGAGTCGTTCGTAGAAAATTACATCACGTGCTGCTACTGTTTCCTTGGAATGGACGTCGAAGATTTTCCACGCGTTGTAGTTCTTTTCGATTCCCAGGTGTAGTCCCCACTGTGCTCGTTGAGAAAATTGGCCCGCTTGTGCTGCTGGGGGTCGGTACTGTACCATGCATCCGAATACTCGTAACATTTTTGTGCTGCCCTGTTTCCCTGTCCATAGCAGATGCGGTGATGCGTTGTTTGGAAGCGATGATGACGAGAGCAAGTTGTGCAGCATGACGGCGTGGTCCATTGCCGCAGGCCACTGGTGGTTGGGTAGCCGCATGCCACGTAACAGTTTGCGCATGCTGTTCTGCAAGGTCCTGTTCATTCTTTCTGCTACACCTTGCTGCTGATGGGCGTAGGGAAGGGAGATGAGCCGCTTGATTCCCCTTTCCGCCAGGTACTGCTTGAATCGCTGAGAGGTGTATTCTCCTCCTCCATCTGACTGGAAGCTTTTCAGTTTCACGCCCGATTCTCTCTCTGCTACTGGTAGCCAGGCAACGAAGGCTGCGAATGCCATGTCGCGGCTAGGGAGGTTTAGGTGCCAGACGTAACGAGTGGCGGCGTCGATGAAGGTGATTGTATAGTTGTATATTACTTGTCCTGGTTCCCGATTGTACAGGATGTCGCTATACACCTTCTCGAGTGGTGCGTGCGCGGGTGCGCTTGGGTTGTGATGAGACGCAAACGGTCGATGTGGTAAGTCACCTTCAGGGCAGGTGAGGCACGTTCCACGTACTCGTTGAAGTTCTCGTCCGTCGGTCAGTAGGAGCGAGTCCTTGTCGAGTACTCCTGCTCTTATCGTATTGTTTAATACTGTGTTGCTTGGGTGTCCCATCCTTGCGTGCCAGGTGCTTTCGTCGGCGCGATGTCCGGGTGATCGTCGGTACATATCAGAGTTGGAGTAGAAGTTGGCGGTGAAGTTGGCGCTACGATGAACTTCTCGTGGTGCTGGGTGTAGTTGTTGCGCGGGTGCCGTTGGAGGACCAGCAATTGGTGTTGACGTTCCTGCTGCTGCCGTTGATGGTTCTGCTACTGCCGATGTTGTCTCTGCTGCTGCCGATGTTGTCTCTGCTGCTGCCGATGTTGTCTCTGCTGCTGCCGATGTTGTTTCTGCTGCTGCTGATGTTGTCTCTGCTGCTGCCGATGTTGTCTGAATTGTTGCTAACGCCCTTGTTCTTTCTGCTTCATGGATGGTGTGTGAATAACAAAAGCCTTCTGGACTGAAGTCTGGATCAAGGTCTGGAGGGTGTGTCCAGTTGGTGAAGTTAACGATGGCGTCGCTGTCGGCGGTGCCAAGATCAGGAACGAAGTCAAGAACGAAGACGTTGTTCTTGAGGACCGCCTTGCCGATGTAAAGTCCTCCTCTCCCGTGATACAGCTTGAATTCTTGGGTGGTGCTGTCTGCTTCGAGGTGAATCCCTTTCGCCATTAGCTGACTGACGCTCAGTAAGTTGTAGTCGAGTCCCTCCGCGATTAGTACTTTTGACATCTGCAGTATAACGTTTGTTTCCCTTGACTGAAGTTGAACTACGCCTTGTCGTCGTGTTCGCAGGTTCTGATTGTTGGCGACTGTAATGACAACTTCGCGTCGAAGTTGGTGTTCTCGTTGAACGAAGCGTCCCGAGGAGCACATGTGCTGTCCGCGGCAACTGTCCAAGAACCATGTGTCCTTTCCGGATGGTTCGCTTTGGGCGATGGCGGCGTATGTCGGGTTCGGCTGAAGTGACTCGCGGCGGGGTGTGGTTTCGTCGAGTTGATCTTCCGGTGAGTAGTGTGGTGGTGACTCGGTGATGCAGGAGTCACTCAGCTTTGCCATGCAGCTGACGATGTTTCTTGCTCCTTGTGCAGGTTGTCCCGTTGAAGTCGTTGAGGCTTGAATCTGGGTCGTGGGATTTGCTTGCGTTGAGGCGATTTGGCTGCTTGAAGGTCGAAGTTGCCGCTGTGGAGTTGTTGACTGTTGACGATTCGGGCAGTGCGTACGCGGGTGTCCCGAAGTTTTGCAGATGTGACAGAACGGAGGTACTGGCTTCGGTTGTTGCTGCCGGTTGTTGTTGTTGTTGTAGCGTCGCTGAGTGTGGAACGCGAATTCCGGTGCTGATGTCTTCTTTTTGTGTCGTTCTTCTTGCAGGTCCATGTCTTGCTGCTTGGCGTGGATTTCGGCGCAGAGCGCTGCTTCGGAGATTCTTCCGTGAGCTCGGAGAATGGCCTTTGTGGCGCGCCATTGAGGACCGAGGCCGCCGATGATGACTGTCACGAAGGCGTCTTCAGAAATCGACCCTCCGCATCGAAGAAGCTTGTCGCGCAACTCGCGACATCGACTGATATATGCCATTCCTTTCTCCCCTGGTTTCATTTCAACGGTTGTCAGTTGCGCCATTAACCGACTTTGGCTTACGCTGTCTGTTGCTTGATACAGGCTCTTCAGGTGGTTGTACGCGAGCTCCGCGGAGTTGCCGTAACCTCGGTAAGACCTTATGTTCTGCTGTTGAGTCGGGGTGATATTCCTCAGTAGGATCGTGTACGCCATCATTGACTGATAGGTGTACTGCTGCTTCTCGTACTGTGTGCCGTTTGTTGGGTATGGCAGAGACCCGTCGAAGAACCCGAGTATCTGCGCGCCTTCCATCATCAGCTCGAACTCGAACGACCAGGTGAAGAAGTCCTTTCCATCGAAGGGTCTTGACGTCTGCATCTTCAGAACGTGTGCGAACTGCGACTGAACTTGTAATGCGTCCAGTGATTTTTCTTGTCCAGATGAAGGCTGTGGGTGTGGCATAAAGCTGATGGACCCGCGCTCG